GGGTCAGGCCCGGCCCGGCGCCCCGGTCCGTGGCAGTGGGGTCTGTGGCCACGGCCTTTGCCTCGTGTCCGGTTGCAGGTCGTGGAGGCGGTGAGGAAGCAGGGCGTGAAGCTGACCACGGTGCTCACCACCCACCACCACTGGTATGGGCGGGGCCGCTGCTCGCAGCACCCTGAGGCGCCGCCTGGCCGCGCCTGGGACCCTCCTGCCCCAAGCCGTGTCCGCTGCTGACAGCTGCCCGATGGGCCCAGGAGGCTCCCGGTGGACAGGCGGCCCGTGTGGCCGGGGTCCCGGGCCGGCGGCGGCGCCCCGTGGGCGCACGAAGACCGGCTCCCTCGGGCTCCTGGCCGCGCCGCCACACTCGGCCGCGGTGTGTCCGGTCGTCCGCTGAGGGAGCTGTCCCCAGAACCGCTGTGACCGCGGCCTCCGGCCAAGCGTGTTGAGGCCTCCTGTTTGCCCCAGCGTCAGCCTGGGCCTGGCCCGGCTGCCAGGGCGTGCCAGCCGGCGCCGGCTGAGGAGGCCTGTGCCTAGGCAGTGGCTGCGTCTGAGGCCAGCCTTCCCGCGGCCCAGGGCGCCATCCCCGCACGCCAGGTCAGGGCCCGCAGTGGCCACAGGCTTCTCCTGGCCCCGCTGAAGGGCAGGGCCAGGTGACGTGAGGAGGGGCCCGCCAGTGCCCGGGGGCGTCGGGGGCCATCTGCCCTGAGCCGCTCTGCCGGCCGCACCTTGCCCGGCCAGGCCCCCGCTGGGCCGGGCCGGGGACGCGGCATCCCCCGGCGAGGCCTCCCCTGCGGGGGTGGGCGTCGGGCCGTGCCCGCTGGGGAACCTGCAGCCGAGAGGGCCGGGCCTGGTCCAGCGCGAGGCCTCTGACTGCAGGGACCACGCGGGCGGCAACGAGAAGCTGGTCAAGCTGCTGCCGGGGCTGAAGGTGTATGGGGGCGACGACAGGATCGGGGCCCTGACCCACAAGGCCACGCACCTGCTCGCCCTGCAGGTGAGGCGCGCCCACCCGCCCCTGAGGAGGGGCTGCCGGAGGGGCAGGGCCGGCGTGGGGGGCCGGGCGGGCCGTGCAGCCGGTGTCCTTCCAGGTGGGGTCTCTGAGCGTCAAGTGCCTGTCCACGCCGTGCCACACCTCCGGACACATCTGCTACTTCGTGAGCCAGCCTGGCAGCGCTGAGCCCGCCGCCGTGTTCACGGGTGCGTGTGCGGGTGGCGCGCAGTGCGCAGCCGGCGTCCCCCCAGCCTCGGTCCCAGCCAGGCTGAGGGCGCCAGAGCCGGGGGGAG